GGAATTATCAGAATCACAGAAAAAGCTGAAAAAGGGACTAAGTAGGGAATTAAAGAGGCTACAATAGGGGATAAAAAAGTTGGAATTTGCAGGAGAAGGGAGTAGAAGAATAGGTAAGGGTAAGACCAACAGAGTTTCAAGATGAAAATCCTAAGCTGAAATGTATGAGGGCTGGGTGGCGAAACAAAAAGAAGCTTAGTAAAAGATACCCTTAGAAGAGAGAATCCTGACATCATTTTGTTACAAGAAACACAAAAAGAAGTGGTGGACAGGAAGTTAATCAGAGCAACATGGGATTCAAGAGGCAGAAAATGGGCTGCCCTTCCAGCCATAGGCACATCAGGAGGGATCCTTGTCATGTGGAGAGAAGACATGGTTACAGGAGTGGAAGTGGACAGAGGCGAATTCTCCCTTTCAATTCTTTTCACAAACAAGGCAGATGATTTCACCTGGATTTTAACAGCAGATTATGGTCCTAATGATCCATCAAATAGGAAAAGGTTTTGGGAAGAGTTGGATTCCTTGCATGAAGATGATGAGCTTCCCTGGGTTGTGGGAGGAGACTTCAACGTCACGAGATTCAGTCAGAAACACTCAAAGGGGAAGAGGGTCAACAGAAGCATGAGAGAGTTCTCCAACTTTATTTCCAGACATAGGCTGCATGACCTCCCTTTAAGGAATGGTATCTTTACCTGGTCGAACATGCAAGAGAATGCCTTAAGTTGTAGGCTGAACATATTCCCAATTACTTCAGATTGGGAAGCCCATTACCCCCTGACCTGTCAGGAGATCCGCCCCCAATGTACATCTAACCACTGGCCTATCACCTTAAGTACAGACTTGGAGATTAGAGGGAAAACCCCTTTCAGGCTGGAAAAATTCTGGACGGAACACAAAGACTTATGCAAAAAGGTTGCTTTATGGTGGGAGGAATGTAAGTCAGAAGGGTGGCCAGGGTACAGATTTTTGGAAAAATTAAAAGAATGGGCCAAAGAGGAGTTTAAAGCGCTCAAGGAAGAGAAATCAACACTCTTATCTGAATTGGAGGATTTAGATCACAAGGAGCAGATTGGCCAGCTAGAGGAGAATGAAAGAAGGAGAAGATTTGAGCTCAGAAAAGAATGGGAAAAGGTAATAAGGAGAGAAGAAGTTTATTGGGGACAAAGATCTAGGGTCAGATGGTTAAAGGAGGGGGACAATAACTCCATGTTCTTCCATATTTATGCATCTGGTAGGCAGAAAAGAAATATTATTTCAAAATTAAAAATCGGGCATCGAGAAGTGGAAGACCCTGAGGAAATTTCTGAAGCTTTCTTACACTTCTTCAAAGATCTTTATGCAAAGGAAGAAAACAAAAAGCTCTCTTTAAACTCTTGGGAAGGACTCAAATTGTTCGAGGAACAAATTGTGGCTAGAAAGAGAGTTTCAAGAACAAGAAGTAAAGGATGAAGTTTTTAGCATGGAGGGAGATAGAGCCCCCTGCCCTGATGGCTTCCCAATTCTATTCTACCAGACATGTTGGAGTATCATTAATTCAGATTTATTACAGGTATTTAATGATTTCTATCATTCAGCCATTGTAAACAAAGGAAACAATTCCAATTTCATATGCCTGATTCCCAAGAGAAAGGGTACTTTAGAACCAAATGAGTATAGACCTATCAATCTGATTGGGAGTGTCTACAAAATTTTAGCAAAGGTTCTAGCTGAAAGATTGAAGAAAGTTTTAGGTGAAATCATATCCCCGAATCAATTTGCTTTCATCAAAGGGCATCGAATAATCGACAGCACTCTAATAGCAAATGAATGCGTTGAAGAGAGGAATGGGTTTTGGAAACAAGTGGATTCAATGGGTTGGGGGATGCATAAGTTCCACTTGATTCTCAGTTATAATAAATGGGCAGCCAAAAGGATACTTTAATGCCAATAGAGGCCTAAGACAAGGATGCCCCCTCTCCCCATTGCTTTTTACTCTAGTCAAAGAAATTTTCAGCCAACTGGTGAATAAGGCAATCTCTCTTGGACTATTGAGAGGATTTGAAGTCGGACGGGAAGCCACCCAAATATCTCATCTCCAGTCTATTGATGACACTATCCTTTTTCTAGAAGCTGATGAAGTTTATGTGTCAAATCTGAAAAAGGGTCATCACCTGTTTTGAATGGATGTCGGGACTGCAAGTAAACTTCTCAAAGAGCAGTTATTGCTGGCATAAATCTAGCAGAGGCTCAATCCTTGAATAGCTTCATAGAGATCTTCGGATGCAAAGCAAAGAATCTCCCCTTCTCCTATTTGGGGACGCCTCTTGGAGGGAACTCAAAATATCAAAGATTTTGGGATCCAATTCTAGAAAAATGTGAGAAGAAACTAGCCACATGGAAAATGAACTACTTGTCAAAAGGGGAGAGGCTCACTCTAGTTAGAGCATCCTTGGCAAACCTCCCCACCTACTACCTTTCCATCTTCCGCATGCCCAACAAGATAGCCATTCAGTTAGAAAAACTTCAGAGAAACTTTATTTGGGAAGGAGGGGGGGAAAGGGGCTCACACCTTGTGAAGTGGTCTCAGGTTAGCAAACCAAAGGAGAATGGAGGTTTGGGAGTAGGTCATTTGAAAGAAAGAAACACGGCTCTTCTTAGTAAATGGTTGTGACGATTTCCTCTAGAGCCAACTGCACTATGGACTGCTGTAATCACTAGCAAATACGGGAAGCACGCCAACGGTTGGGATAGCAAGCTTCACTTCAATCAAATCAAAGACACCCACCCTTGGAAAGGTATAATCTCGACTTACAATTTTTTCATATCCTTTATCAGATACAAAGTGGGAAAGGATGACAGAATTAAGTTTTCGACTGACCTGTGGTGGTGTAATTCTACTTTAGCTAACTCCTTCCCTCGCCTATTCAGCCTCACCTTAAACCAAGAAGCTTCCATATCCCAGGTTTTACCCCCCTCCCCTCCTTACTTCAACTGGAATCTAACCCTTAGGAGACCTCTAAGGGACCCAGAAATTAGTGAAATCTCTAGCTTCTTGCACACCCTGAGAGAGGTCTACCTCTCACAAAATTCCCCTGACCTTCGTGTTTGGAACCTTCACCCATCAGGTAAGTTTTCAACCAAATCTTGCTTCAAAGCTTTAGTTAGGGAAGAACAAACTAATGATCAGTACCTCTACAAGAGAATCTGGTGTGCTCATATCCTAGGGAATGTTTTTTTTGTGTGGAAAGCCAGCTTAAAGAAAATCGGCACTTTTGACCTCCTTCAGAAAAAGAACCATGGCAGGTATTATTTATCTCCACATGGCTGTTGCTTCTGCTTTAAAGCTGGGGAATCCACCAACCATATTCTGCTCCACTGTGAGGAAATTAGAAAATGCTGGAACTTCTTCCTATCTTTGTTTGAATACAGTTGGGTTTTCCCTGAAAATGTGGTTGATTGCTTAAGGCAATGGTCAAGAAGAGGATTAAGCAAAAGAGGGAAAATCTTATGGCAATCTGCTGCTCATGCTATTTTTTGGAGCATTTAGGAAGAGAAAAACAACAGGGTCTTTAACAACAGAACAAAAAACCGAGGAGCTGATGTCTCTAATATGTTACAGATGCTTCCTATGGACTTCCAGTTCATCTCATTTCAGAGGTGTCCCTTTTGGTGACCTCCAAAGAAACAGTGTAAATTTCCTCCACTCTAAACAAATACCGTTCAACACTACCCGTAACTTCAGATCTGATGTGGAGGGTGAGACGACCTTGTAATTTGATGGGAGTGCTTTTGGAAACCCAGGTACAGTGGGTATTGGAGATGTAATTCGAAATAGAAATGGTATCAGTTGGGCTTTTAGTGGGCCGATTGGAATTGCCTCATCAACAAAGGCAGAAGTCTTGGCAGCTCTAACTAGCATCAGGATTGCAAAAGACATGGGTTTACGAAGTCTTACCATTAAAGGTGATTCAGCCAACACCATTAACTAGCTTTCTAGTCCTGCCAGTGGGCCTTGGGCCTTAGCTCACTACCTAGCTGAAGTGAGAGACATTCTTGCCTCTTTAGTGGCCAGGTGGTCTGGATTCCAAGGGAGCTAAACTCTGAAGCCGATAGTCTAGCTAAATCTGGTGCTCACAGGGATTTTCTCTTTAGTGATAGCTCTATGCCTTCATAATTTTCTGAGAGTTTTATCTGTCGTGTACATCGCCTCATGTACCTCTCCTTTTGAATAAAGTTAACTTTTTCTCAAAAAAAAAAAAACAAAAAAAAACAAAAAACAGCCTTTGTACTCCTTGTTTAGCTAAACTAACCGCCAAACTGTTGGCCAATCTTCTAACCCAATTAACTTGAATAAACATGTCCCTGGAGAGCCATTTGAAGCTCCTAAGGTCATTCCTTAGGTGCCAGGAAACTCCTTCCCCCTTCTTTAACCAGTCCACAACTGTTTGTTGGGCCAAGAGGACCCAGACTATCTATTTGTTCGGTTGTGTGTTGCTCAATCAGCACTATTGCCTTCTTCGACATCTTGGCAATGGGTTGGTCAACTCCAGAGATATTAAGGGAGAAGCTGGCACGCTGGAGAGAATGGTAACATCTTCTGGAAGTCCTTTCTTTTTTCCATTTGCTGTTGCAGTTTGAGCACTATATAGAAATCTTCTAAGTTGTTGGGCTATATGCCCAGACACATGTTAACTCCTTGTGAAGCTGATATATTCTTAGGAAATCTAAAAGCATTAGAAGGAAGCTGGGATGAAATTTGAGTCAGTACATTTTATAATCAAAATGAATTGTTTCAATAGAAATTGCTTGAGAAACATGCGTTGCCATCTATTCCTATGAAACTTGTATAGTCGTATTAGCAATGGAGTGATACTCTACACACCCCAGCAAAATCCAGTACATCATCAGGTTAATAACAGAACTCAGTAAATTGAAAAGCGACCATTGGTAAACAGGACCGGGAAATGGAAACAGTATTCTGGAATGGAAATTTAGAGCTGAAATCAATTGTAGATACTGACCATTTTGAGTTCGTGGCAGAAACCCTAAAAATCGGAAGGACGAGTTTTAGCTGAATTTGGTGGAGAGAGATGCTAGGGCTTTCGAATTTTCTGCCTCGCTGTCGTGCACTCCCTCCCTCTCTCTCTCTCCCCTGCCTCGCCCTCCCTCCTTTTCCTGGCTTTCCCTTCGCTATGACAACTGACAACCCACATGGAGGCGTCGACTCGACGCCTTGACGACTTACGACTTGCAAGTTGCAACTCCTCTCTACAACTTGGGGGTGATCATGGGCCGGGCCGGGCTTTCCACCTGTGGGGCTATAGCCTGGGCCCAGGCCCTGGCCTGATTCTGGGCCTTTCTTTTTTATGTAAAAAATATTTATATATACTATATACTTTATATACTATCAATTGAGATTAGTAGTTTGAGATTTCATGGAAGAGTGTTAATTCTAAAGCCAGGGTGCAAAGGGTCAATTACATGAATCCTGTTATACTATTCCACTATGTTAAGGGTGCAAGTCATGTGGGTTGGGCTGGGTTTAAGATCAGCCTAGACACAGCCTTAAGAATTGGGCTTAAGGCCTAAGTCCGAAGTTGAGCTAAAATTGCCCAATTCAAACTCAGCCCACACAGAAATTTGATGCACTTAGGTTGGCCTTGATCTTGATATGGGCCCAGGTTAGTAAATCAACACACACTAAATTTGATATAAATGTATGTCTATATTTATGGTTTACCAAATACATATATAAATATGTACCTGATACATACATATACTGATCTATGCATGCAAATACGTGTCTATATATGTATGTACATAATTGGGCCTGGATTGGGATAAGGTCGGTCTGGGCTTGGGTTACCCAAGAGTTTGGCTTGGCCCCAACCCAAAAAATAAAAAAAACCCAAATTTTTGTTCCAAACCCAAACTCAAAGACCGAAAATCCAAACCCAACCCGTCTAAAATTGCGGGTTTTCTGGGCTTGAATTGGGCCTTGGAATTGCACCCGTTCAACACAATTATTCATTTATTTGTCTACGTTTTTAGGATTTATGTGTGTGTGTGTGTTTTATTGTTAATGGTTTGATACAAGGCCAAAATCTCAATGTCCTCGAGTCCCATCTTAATTGAATGAATTCGATTTAAACCTTGAAATTAAATCACTTGAAAATCTGAGTATAAGGTACACTGCAGTCCTTATACTATAGAACTTGTATTCAAAATTTCATATAAGGACTATATATAGTTGCTCAACTAAATGATTTGTTGTTTGTGTTTTAATGAATAAAATAATTAAATGATGAAATATTTTTTTATAATAAAATTAAGGGGTTACACAAGACGGGGGTAGCACGTTCCCACAAATCACTATAAAAAATAAATGCAAACGGCTAAGGCAACTTATCAAAATTCAGAGATACACAACTATTACTCCATAACTGGGTTCATGAACATGGTGAACTAGCCAATCTGCAGCTTGATTTGCTTATCAATAAACATGCTTGCAGATGATCCCCTTCACGCTCCTCTCCTTAAAATCCTCATGTTCCATAAGAACGGACTAAACTTGTTAAAACAAGAAATCACGAAATATTCAATGCTATGTTAACATACCCAACTTATCCTTAAAATATTATTTTATTCATCAAATAAATAAAGCAATAATTAAGTTTTTTCAGTTGTTATTGCTGGCACCGTTTTTCATATCTGGCTGGTACGTGAAATTTGCCTTCATTTAATGCTTACATTGTTGAAAGGCACAGCGTTGGATACTTTTGGATTACTTAGACTTTAATGCAAAAAAATGGACGACCTCAACCTTTCGTATTTTTCAGCTGCTTTAATATAATGCTTTTTTCTACAAAAAAAAAAAAGTCAAGTTTTTTAGGTTATTAATAGTTGGAAATTGCAGAATACCTCATCTATTTGTTATTTAGGCTATGTTTGGTTTGAAGGAAAATGTAAGGAATTCATACAAAAAGAATTATCATTCTAATGTTTTCATTTTTACAAGTGGGAGAATCCTAACAAAATTGAGGTGGCATTTGATAAATCTGAAAATTCATATATAAAAAGTTAAAAAGATATTAAAAGTGTGAAATTTAAAAGGAGGCATAGATGCTTTTTACCTTTTAGAGGCTCTGAATTTATAAGTTTGTTTGTRTTAGATCAACCCTTTACCATCTAAAATTTACTGATTTTACTATTTTACCCTTAGAACATACTATTTGTAAATGTTGAGTTCAATTTGCATTATCTCATAAAAAATAATTTTCAACCTCAAAATAACATTGAAATAATACAAATAAAAAATTACTAATTACTAATTAATAAATGATAAATAAAATTAAAAAAAATAATTAATGACTATAAAAATATAAAAATAATTAATAATTTATTACTATTTAATAAAAATAATTAATAATTACTAATGTTTAATAAAAATAATTATTAAATATTAATCATTAATGTTTAATGAAAATATTAAAATAATTAATATTTAATAATTAATGAAAATAATTTATAATTAATAATATTATTATTATTTCTACTCACCGAACCGCCATTGCAAATGGCGAAAAGATAGGAGAGAGAGAGAGAGAGAGAGAGAGGGAACTGCCATTGTTGCAACTTGTAGCGGCAATGGTGAGAATACATGGGGGGAGAAAGAGAAGGAACCGCCGCCGCGGTTACGGAAAAACAAGGAGAGAGAGAGAGTGTGTGCAGCGGCGGTGGTGGCAGTGGAGCTTTGTAGGTCGTAGTGAGGGTTCGATTCGAGTTACATGAAGGACAAAAACATGTAATATTAAAATTTCTTTGAGGGCATTTATATCTATTATGCACCTCTCAATTACATCTGAACGCATAAGTGCCAGGATACTAGGGGTGGCAACGAGCCGAACTTTTCACGAGCTGCTCGAGCTCGGCTCATGAAAAGCTTGACTCGGCTCAGTTTTAACCGACCTCAAGCTCGAGCTCGAGTCCAATTCACTGGCTTGATTATGAAACAAGTTGAGCTCGAGCCTACTAGAGCTCGGCTCATAAGGCTCGCGAGTCAACTCGAATATATATATATATATAATAAAAATAATATAATTATTAATTATTATAGTTCTTACTTTTTTAAATATAAAATAAAAAATATTTTTATATATAGTTTTTTATTTTTATAAAATATTTTTTCTCAATATTGAGCTCGAGCTTATGAATTTTTTACTCGAGTCGAGCTCGAGCTCAAGGTTTTGGCTCGAGCTTGAGCCTTGTAGAACAGTCTCGAGCCGAGCTCGAACCTCGTACTATTCGGCTCGGCTTGGCTCGAATCCACCCCTACAGGCTACTAACTTAAAATTTCAGATCTGAAAAAGGATTTCAAATCGATTTTCATACGCAACACCAAACAAGTTTGGTGTCTAAAAAGCAAGTTTTTCAGACATCAAACCTCTGAAAAGTGCTATCAAACAAGGCCTGAGTCTGAATTTGGTAGGCATGTTTGGTAGACAACAAGTAATATTTTCTCCTCTGTCAAGACTTGTAGTTATGAGTAATCCCATCTCGGGAAGCTGTGTAAATTTACAAAGGTTATCTCTTAGGTTGTGTTTTGTTTGAAAAAAAAAAGGTAGGGAAATTTGTATCTCAAGGAAACTATTGCAATTGCCACCGTTTTCTTCAACAAAAGAAAGAAATAAAGAAAATCCAAGAGGTTAGATTTGAATTTAATCCTCTCCTCCCAAGACCCCACATAGCATAGAGCCAATTTGGTTTGGTTGTGTCCACATCACAGTTTTACTCAAACATTAATACATTATAAGGGTGCTAGATATTGCCAGTTCGGGAGGGCTTTCACCTGATAACTTCTAGCAATACATGAGCTGCAAAACCGGGAATTCCATGAAGCCATGTTTGGTAAAAATCTTAGTTTGAAAATAGTATTGCATGAGCCATAGAATCAACTTTCCAGTGAAACTATCCTAGGCTATTTTTGGTAATTAAAGCCCTATTTTTTGTACTTATTTCACAAGTACTTCTAAGAAGTACTTATTTTAATAACCACTTAAGGTTGTTTGGTAACCCACTTTTCAAACCACTTAGTATGTTTTTAAGCATTTATTGGGGTGGGAATGTTTGGTAAGCTACTTTCCCCATAAGTGCTTATATTGAACACCAATGACAATTTTAGCCCTCACTTCACTCATACATATATCACAATGGTTTTCACATATTATAATATACATTTCAACTACAGCCCGCGTGGACCCCATGTTGGTTGCCATGTGGATCCAATTAATAATAGTAATAATAATAATAATAATAATAATAATAATAACTACCGCTACATTTTGCTTTCTACAACCTTCCCCCTCTTCTCTCCCTCATTTCATCCTCTTTTTCTCAATAACCACCTCCCAACCATCTACTTGCCACACTCTTTGAATGCTAGTAGCTCCCTCTCTCCCTCTTCCCTCTTTAAATACATAGTCAGAGACATGCACACAAATCTACCTCATTGCTTCCAAAGAAACGAACAATATTGAAAATCCTCTGTCACCCTCTTCCATTGAAGACTGTCTGCATCATGGACGCTTCTGGCAGCTTAAGCTCCAACCTTGTGGATCGTATCCTTCAAAGGGGCTACACTGTTCACGCCGTTGTCCAAAACCATGGTTAATTTATTTCTTTATTCATCTTTTGCTTTACACTCATCACTCTTACATCTATAATTCTCATCATCTTTTGTGTGGATTGTTTGTTTCAGGTGATTTGCAATTGCAAGCATTCAAGGGAATTTCTTCCGACAATAGCAAGAATCTAAAAGCCTTCCACGCCAATCCTTTTGACTACCAGAGCATCATGGATGCCTTGAAGGGCTGTTCTGGCTTGTCCTATAGCTTCGAGCCTCTCCAGTACCAGCCCACCTTCGACTCGGCCATGGCAACGAGTCAAGCTTCATCTTTCACCACTACATTTCCACCATTAACTGCCACTGGGAGCAGTTATAGTTCACCAGAATCCTGATTTGGCGAGAGAGAGAAATAGAGGAGAGATCAGGAGAAGAGCTTACAAAGAAGGGGCCATGATTTGGCGACTAGAATAAAAGTAAAAAGAAAGGTTTCCAATGGCAGAGTTGGTCGGCAGGGAGGTGAGGTAGATGAAGGGACAGAGCAAGGAAGGGAGGGGCGGAAGGAAGAAGATGATGAACAATGCTTTTTG